GTCCTGATGTGGTAGGTGTGAGGTAGGGATTACAAATCACAGAGGAAGAGCAGTGTTGGGATGAGCAAAGAATTCAAAGATGCTAGAGCTGGACTTGAAGAGTAGTAGAGAATAGACAGAGAGGGACAGGAGGATCTAGGTGTGGGAGCAGGGAAGGCACAGACACCCAGAAGGGATGGTGGGGAGCATTCTCAGAGAACCAGCAATTAATTATCCTTGTGCTCATAAAAATGACTTTTTGATGGGAGTCCAGCAAATTCATTGCTAAGGAGAGATGAAGTAGTCTCTGAGGTTTGAATATGGAAAGCTCAACACAGCCCACACCACTTCTAGCCACAACTACAGTCCATACTGGCATTTCTGCATCATCTAGCTTTATTCTTGATTCTGCATTTGGGACTTGGGTCTACCTCTGATGTTCCAAAGAATAATGTTGCCATAGAAACAAACATATTTCTGAGAGGGAAAGCCTGGGGGCTAGTTGAGAATATAAATTTAAAGGTAAAGTCCATGGCATTCAACCATATAAATACCCGTCAGTGAGGCATGCCGTAAAACTTTAATTACCAAGCTCAAGATCAAAGGGCTATTACTCAAGGGTGGAGAAGCCAAGTGGGAATTAAGGAGGTCTTCCTTCAACAAATGATGACCAACCAACTCCCCGAACTCAGCCAAGTGTCTCCTGTGTTTGTAGACATAACTACCCTACGCCTCTTAAACACACATGTAAGCGTGAGTGTGCCATTGTGCCGTGGCACATGCAGAACAATTCTGCTGGGTGGAGGTCACAAAAATGCAAGGAATGTTAATGCCCAGGAGGGTGGCTTCTGGCAGAAGGGCAAAGCATCCTTATAGACTCAGTGCTGGATAGGCTGCTGCCTTGAGGCCAGGACCCTGGGCAGTAAACCCAGAGTGTAGCTTAGGTGTATACTGATACCTATAGCCTCCTCTTGACTGCTTTCCAATTCAGTTATACAGCAATCTAAAATATTAGCCGTTTGTTCTACTCCAGACCCTAGAGAGAGGATCAGTGAGACGACAGCCAGAGGAATTTTTGTCAGCTTCTGTATTGGGAAAGATATTGACAGAAGAGCGGGTTGGAATCAGGGAAAAGATGGCTTTACTGGCAATTAGGAACTCTGGTGTCTGCGGTCCTGTTTTTTTATTACTAAATCCAGGATGAGAGTAAATATTTCATTTCTTTAGCTCATATCCCCTTTTCCCCTAAATCACTGTATCATCATCCTATCACCCCCTGTGTCCTCAGTGTGGGGCAGTGGCTGAAAATCATTCCTTTTTTTTTTTTGGTACCGGGAATTGAACTCATGACCTCGCATTTGCTGGGCTATATCCCTGGCCCCTCATTCCTCTTCTTGACTATGTATGCTTCACTGTCCTGGTTTTGCAAAGGAGGAGAGAAGAAGGGCATATCAGGGTTCATTGGGAATGGAGGCAGCAAAGCGCTTGTCAGCTGTGCATAGCTTAGCAGTGAGAATGTAGAATTAAAGCCTGTAGGGTCTTCTACCACATGGCCTCATCCCATTCCCCAGCTGACTCCTACCTCTGCATGCTCTGATCCCAGGGACACTCACTGTACCCTTGGTTAGCTACCCAAAGGCATTCTGCATATGCATCTCTCTTGCTGCTTCCCACGCCGAAGGCTGGAAAGCCAAACACACATTTTCTCTACCTTCCTTGTAGGTATGCGTGGCCCTGTATGTCAGTTCTGGCTCATAAAATACAAGTGGAACTCTGATGGAAAAGCTTCTGGAAAACCTTTTGTTTCCTCATAAATTGGGACAGGTGGGAAATGATACAGCCACTCCTCCTTTCTCCCTTTCCCTGTCTTGAACATGATGTGATGGCAGGAGCTGTGCCAGCCATCTTACTGTCCTGAGGGAAAGAGCAAGACAATTGCAGAGATGCCAAGACTGGACCACGAGACCTACCTCTGTATTTCTTCTATATGAGAAAAGAAAACTTTTTGGGTTTAAATTAGTGTTGGTTAAGTTTTCTGGTATTTACAGTTTAGTGCAGTCCTAAATGGCATGTCCCTGACCTAGATGAGGCATGTAATGGACAGCAAAGCAGGTATGGGCCTCTTCTGACCAAACTGTGAGACAAAAGAAAGAAAATGAGTGAGTCCAAAGACTACAAATGGTAGTTTGTGCTACAAGGAGAAAAACATGATGCTATGCTAGAGGACTACCTGTATTTTCTCAGAAATAAGACCCAGCTGGAAAACAATCAGCCTTGAAAACTAGAGATCAAAAATGCCAGCCCCAGCAAGCCTATCCTTGCCTTAACCTTTACAGAGCAGCCACTGAGCAAGAGAATAGTGTTGGCAGGTGAGGCAAAGGTAGGCTGATTGGGGCTGGAATTTATTTTTGATCTCTAGTTTTCAAGGCTACTTATTTTTCAGCCGAGGACTTCTTTTTAGGGGAAGCGTGTAACAGCTATTGCAAGGTCCCTAGGGCAGAAAAGGATTTAGTGTATCCAAGGCTGGAGACAGTCAGGGAGACATCAGAAAGGAAAGGAGGGGAGTGCTGGTCAGGAGTACTTCATACAGGGCCCTGCAGGTCATACAGTGGAGTTTGAGTTGTAGTCTAAGTGCCAAACGAGAGTTTTAAGCAAAGATCTTTCTGGTGTTGTGTAGCAAATGCACCAAAGGGACCGAGGAGTGGAAATATGGAGACCAGGGAGGAGGCTGTCGTGGGAGCTTGGGGAACGGGACGGGGCTGTGTCCTGGATGAGCCCCAGGACTTGTGTCAGCAGCGCTTTCACGCGTGCTGATCGCTTCTCTCTGATTTTCTGGCATTTTCCTCTGCTCCTGGCCATTTTATTTTCAGCTTTGTCAGGCTCTTTTTCACTGCTCTTCTCTAAATGTTAGGGTTCCTCTGAGATTTTACTTGGGGTTTTCCCCCTTACTCAACAGCCTTTCCTCAAGAATTCATAATTCATCTACTCCATCTTTCTTTATATGACATGCGAACATAAATCTACAAGTTACCTTTTTATCATCAGACCTGTACTTCTGGATGCCCACTAGGTGTCTTCATTTGAATGCTGTGCAGTCTTCCCTTCCTGAAACCATTCTGGCACTCTGCTTCTCACTGCGTTCCCCATCTCAAGCCTATCCACCCACTCATCCAAGCCAAGATTCTGGGCATTGTACTGGACCCTGTACAAAGGGAAGACTTTCCTCTTATCCTTTTAAATTCTATGGTTGGGGTCTGTCAGTTGACATGACAAAAGATGGATTCACAGGAGAAAAAGCAGACAAGCTTTACCTGATGTTAACCTTTTTTATGTGGCATGGGGGATGCTTCACAGAAAGAAGCAAATAGACGCAGGGCTTATACACCATTTTAACAAAGAGCGATACACTGTGGAGACGTGGTAAGACAAAGGACAGAGGGGCTTGGAAAACTGTGGGAAAGTGACCGGGAGAAACTCATGGGTGATAAATGCTGCATTAGTAGGATTTTACAGACTCAGCTTGGCATTGGCTTCCCACGCCTGGTGAAGAAGATGTTCTTTCCCTTTGTTGTACAAGCTGGGTATTTTTCTCAGGGGAAATTTACACCCTGGCTTTTGGTAGGAAAGAGGACGGCAGAGAAGTCTCCCTGTGTCTGCTGTGTCTCAGCCGCCTTCAGCTGAAAATAATCAATTTGCCAAAACGGCATACTTGGGGCGGCATGTTCTGATCCCCTCCAAATCCTTCTCCCTTATTACCATTCGGCATCAGTCACAAGTCCTGGAGACCCCATCTCTTGCTCCAAACTGTGCACTTCTCTCCATCCTCACTGCGTTACCCTCATTGGGACTACCATCCTCTTTTACTTCGCGTTGTCATCGGTCACCTCGCACCTTGCGCATCCCTTTTCATCTATTTTTCACACCACGGACAGGGTTTTCCTTCTCAAACACGATGAAGTCAGGTTCCTGCTCACGCTATTCATGCTTTTAATTTTTGCTAGGAAAAAAATCCAAACCTTTGGCATCTCCTGCGGCCTCTGTGGCTGCACGTTTGTTTTGGTCCCGAGCTCAGTGTGAGGCTGTGGGAACCCGGTCCTCCTTACATCTGTGAGGACTGTCACTGTCTCCCCAAGTCTGTACATGGGGCGGCATGGGCCTGGTGTCTGACTGGGGAAATCTTCAGAAATGGCCACAGCCTCCCGGGGAGGTGATGGCAGCTCTCATTCTTCTCAGGGAGCCTCAGTCACGTCGCCTGAGCCCTCTGTGGTGAAGGTCACAGCTCTGGCTTCTTCCCTATGAAGCACCTCACAGAGCCGTCACCGCTCCCGAAGTAACCCGGATGGGCCTGCGGTGGTGGGTTTTTCCTGGAGAAGCATCGCCATTGTCTCAGGTGGGGCAGTTGACAGACCAGGCCCTTGGGCACCCCATGAAGATCAGGGTGCCCTCCCCCTGCCCTGGGACCTGCGGGTTTCCTCTCCCACAAGCTCTGCTTCCCTCCCCGCTACAGCCTTGCCTCTTCTTGCCTTCCCTGCAGGCCAAGCTAAATGTGGCTTCTCTCATTTCTCTCTTCACTTAGCCTTTTCTGATCTCACCTCATCAGACTGAATAAATCCTCCTGGCAAATATTCTGCCTGTGATTTTTCTCTCCAGTCTGCTTTTGTGACTCCTGAGACCCTCCATGGACCACGACTGTGACTGTGAGCATCACCTCCGTATGGCCATGGACCCACTATGTGAGCGACAGTAAACGTCAGCGGGGAGACAGTCAAGGATGCGGCACACACTTCCTCCCAGGGCCTCTGGGTTGACGTTTGGAAGGGCTCTGGGAACTCAACACGGGACTCCTGCTGTGCTGACCACTGTCGGTAGCACCCCCAACCACGTTATCTGTGAGACCCGAGGGCAGTGGAGGTGAGCCTATGGCACACATGTTGCTGTGGGCTGTTTGTATCTTTCAAAGCTCTAAGAGGTTTGCCATTGCTGCCCTTGAGCCTTGGAAATAATTATTCTTAGGATTTTCCTCAGGTGCTTAAGTCAAAGATTTTTATTTCTGATTTCTTTTAGACAGAACTTTTATAAGAATCACCGATGAAAGACTCCATAAATCACATAATCCCTCACTAACAAAATACAAATTTGATCACTTAAAAAAGATCAGTTTTCAGCAACCCAGATGGGTGAGAAAAATACTGTTGGGTTTTTTTTCTGATCTGTCACAGGATTTTCTAAATCAATGAGAGTGATGCTGCCGAGCTTGGCTGTATTACTTCCCAACATGAGGGAAAGACCCTTGGGGTACGTAACATGCTTATGTCAGAAAACCCAGCAGTGACGGACTTGGAAAGCTGGAACTTGAGAAGTCCTGCCCCCTTGCGGACCCCGTGTGCAGGGACACTGAGGCCCACTTCTGGGAGGCCCCTGGCTCCATGAGTCACTCATGTCTTCAGCAGCCAGATTTCATTGCGACGTCCGTATGGCTTCATGGGAGGGTCATATCCGGTGCAGAAGTAGACGTCGCCCCGGTAGGTGGCTGTTCCCTCCAGGGCAGCACGCAGCTGCCTGGCCTGAGTTATGTAGTCTGCTTCCTTGGCGTAGCCACCAAACTGCCTGAGGAGACAAGAGCAAGGGCTGGTAAGAGAGGACACGGCCTTGGAGAGACAGGGAGTCTTCAAAAGAAGGCAGCACCACGCTGATTATGACCAGCACGCTAGAGTGGCCGGACTGTGGACTTGCCACATCCTAAACAGGTGGTCGTGACCTTTCTGAGCTTCACTTTCTACATCTGTAAAAACAAAAAAATGCCATATATTTTCTTTTCCCTCCAAAGTAATGAGTTTACCTGAAGTAACAGAGGTGAAAATTATAACCACTACAGGGTCTGAAACATAAAAGTCACAGCCTAAATGTGAGCTTCCCTTACCTATAATTTCCCAAAGAGATGATAAGCTGTTCCCCAGGCCACCCTATGTCCCCAGTGTTTTTGCTTAATTCCTTCTACCACTCACCTGGCCCTCTCTGGCCTCTGTCACCAGCAGGACGGAGGGACAAGCAGGAGTCGGGCATAGCTGCTGCTCTAAGGGTAGGCGCTAGTGCTTCTTCCAAAGCAGAGCAGCTATAACAACTGCGCTCCCCCAGCAAGGATGTGACAGCTCCATTACATCAGAGCTAATCAAGGCAAAGACCCAAGAAGTCTTGGAAGGGACCCCGTACAAGCTTTACATAGCCCCAAATTCCTAATACTTTTTTTTGGAGATAATTACTTCCCTTACATCATCTGCCTCTGTACCAGAAGTCAATCTGTAGCCTAAATATACCACTCTAAATCTGGCTTGCACTAAAATCTTTATGAGAGTCAAATACACCCATGTTTCTAACGAGCTTTATGACTCAAAAGTCTGAATGCGCACCAGGCCGAGATGAAGCCAAATAGTGCACTGTTTTTGGTGGTGTTCTCTGAATCATGCTTTGCTCTTTTATGAGTGGTTAGTCACAATGGCACGCATTCAACATGCTGGTCACGGGGCCGCTGATGTGAAAAACACCCAGGATTTCAGGTGCGAAGGGCTGGCTATGCTAGTAATGTCTAGGTCACGGCTACAGAGCAAGGAGTGAGGCTGACACCAGTTTCAAGCAGCTGAGACTGGCTCTACAAATGCATCGAAGAAGGACTGTAAGGCAGATGCTCTGCCTTCTTGAGGCTCAGGGAGGGGGACACAGGTTGGCAGACACAGGAGGAAGATCCAGGAAGGATTTTTTTTCCTGAGAACCACCTGTTGGAAGTGAACCAGATGCTGGACGTGGGAACAGGTGTCAGGGTTTCCCACAGCTCCTACTTGTGTTGTGACACTGAACTGTTCTCCGTGATAAGGGACAGTGCCAGCTGGCTCCTTAAGCTACTGATTTTGAAAATCCCAAAGGAGCGGTCCTTGACCGTCATCATGTAGCAAGTGGAGGCATAATGGGTAGTGTGTGTGTTCGGATCTTCAGACTCTGTTACTTTCCAGCTCACGGTGTTGGGCAACTCTTTTAATTTCTGGCATCTGTGGGTCACTGGCTTTGTTAAATAGAAAAGATAACAGAGCATTAATCTCAGAAGGCTGTGGAAGAGATGAAAGGAGGCAAGACTGGGAACGGCTACAATGTAAAATACCATGTAAATAGTTGTTACGCTGTATTGTGTAGGAACCCAGGACAAGAAAAGCCTGTGTTCAGTACAGATGTGATTCGCCCCCCAAACATTTCTGATATGCAGTCGAGTGAATCCACAGGTGCAGAGCCAGCCCGTAGGGAGGGCCTACCGTACTTGGCAGTTCTCTCCCAAGACTTTCAGGTCCCTGCCTCCCAAGGTGAGGGACACCATGGTAATTTAGAGTCACATCCCAAAGTGGCTTAAAAAGCAGTTCTCACTTTGTCAGGCCTTCTCTCAAAACTATTTAACTCCCAGTGTCCTCCTTTGTTCTCTTTCTCTCCCTCCTTCTCTCCCTCCTTTCCGGCACACACACTACACAGTTTACCTTGGTCGGCTTTCTGTCCCTGTAACAGAATCCCTGAGGCTATGAACTTGGAAACACAGGCTGACTTGGCTATGGTTTTGGAGGTTCCAGGTCTCCGGGGAGGGTGCCGGATGGCATTGGCGGGCAGTGTGTGGTGCAGCAGCCAGACAACTTCCCAGGGGGCTCCTCTCTAAAGGCCCCACCCTCTCAATAGCGCCACCCTGGGGACAAAGACTTTAACCCACAGGCCTTGGAGAACATTCAAGACCCAAACTGTACCATATCATGGTTTATGGCCTGTGTTCCTTGGGTGAATACAGGGTCCACGATGGCAGCATCTGTGACATTTTTGTCCACTGATGTATCCTGCATGCAGAGCACAGTGCCTGACACATATTAGACCCCTTGGGGTCTAATAAATAATCAAGGCTGAGATAATAAAAGTGACTGTCCTCAGATGGATGGGACCCATTAGTGAGTTCAGTGTTTAAATATCTCAGTTTGTGGGGCTGGAGATTTAGCTCAGCGGCACAGCGCCTGCCTGGGAAGCGCAAGGTCGTGAGTTCGATTCTCAGTCCCGGAAAAAAAAAAAACCAAAAAACCAAAAAAACAAATAAATATCTCAGTTTGCTACTGGAGTCTGTCTCTCTCCCTCTTTCACATAATAAACTAAGAGGACAGCGGGGGGTGGGGAGCTATAGGGGACCGACAAGATCAGACTATTAGAAAGATGCCCCCGCAGCAGTGCAGGGATGGTGCAAGTGGCAGGGACTCAGTGAGGGCCAGGGACAGCCGGTGAGAGGATGGATGTGGAGGGAGGAGAGAGGGTGACGGGGGTGCCCAGGGCTCCTGGATAAGCCCCAGGTGGATGGAGGGGAGCAGACACCCCTAACTAGAGCAGAGACAGAGGCTGAAGAGTAACTCTGGAGAGCTGGGCTCGGGCTGGGGGTGCCAGTGACCCGGTTTGGGGCATGCTGCTATTGACGCTCCTCTGTGAAATGCACTCATGTGACAATTGCTAATTCAGCCTCCACATGTGCGTCTGATGCTGCAGAAATCTCCTTTGCCCTGGTAAAGAACTGGAGTCAGGGATAAAGCAATGGACTTGGTACAGAACGTGGGCGTCCCACTGAGCAGCTGCTGGCCAGAGTCCTGGTGAGGACTGGGGCGAGGTACAGAAGGCCAGTGCCGGGAACCCTAATACCTGGATGGTGACCTTGGCAGGGGACACTGAGCAGGGCTGTCCGAGAAGCACAGTGTGACGGGGAGGAAACCATCACTCAGGGATTCGTAAAGTTCAGTACTAGAAAGCTCCCACTTCACTGGGCACGGTGGCCCATTCCTGTAATCCCAGCTACTTGGGAGGCTGAGGCAGGAGGATTGCTAAACTGGAGGCTAGTCTGGGCAACTTAGTGAGACCCTGTCTCAAAATAAAATAAAAAGGGCTGGGAATGTAGCTTAGAGGGCTAGAGTGCTTGCTTAGCACACACTGTGCCCTGGGTTCAATCCCTAGAAAGTGCATAAGAAAAAAAAAAAGAAAGAAAGAAAACCTCTGAAACTTTACTTTTACTCTCTGGCAGTCTGAAATGCTTGTAATGAAGACAAACGTCTTCCTGTTGCTTCATCGTGGAAGCTAGGAAACATTTTGTCAGGAAACAAAGGAAGCTGGGAGAATTATGGAAGCAGACACGTGGCTGCTCAATTAACTAACTCACCCCAACCCCAGTCACAGAGTCACACTCACAAGCCAGAAAACCAGGGCACAGCCCTTGGCTAGGAAGGCGCAGTGACTCAGCGGTTGTCCCTCCCTGCCCCGGCCTCTGGTCCACACTGGGAGGAGAACACACGGGGTCTCCAGTCCCCCACCTCCCGAGCCTGTTTGAGTGAGGTAAGGAATGCTCACAGTGTTCTGAGCTCCTACAAGGAAATGGACACATTCCTTTGCGCGTTACTTCCCTAAGCCTGTTAATGAGTTTCTCACACTCATCTTGAGAGAAGCCTGATTGTATTTTGTCTCACTCAATGTCCCAACAAAAAATTTGGTTATCATGGGAACACAGGAACACACACACACACACACACACACACACACACACACACAGTGGATTCCAAAAACACAATAGGAGCTGCCTGAAGAGGGGGCTGGGAGAGTTAGAAAGCACAGCGGCGGTGGTGAGACGATGCAGGCATTCCCGTGGGTGTAAGAGGCGGGCTTTTGGTCCAAAGAGGCAAAAGTGCGCAGAGTGCTGTCCTCCAGGAAGTGCCTGGTGCTGGCATGCAGGGAGGGAAAGCGAGACAAAATGACTCTGAATGTGACTGTCCACCTTCGCCTGACACTTCAGCAGCCAACAGGTCAGCACCAATTTGCATAGAATCAGCTGCACGCACAGCCTCGGGTGAGGCAGAAAGAGGGTCAGGGCAGCGACTGGCCACCGTCACACGAGCAGCAGAGGCCTCACACAATGCGGCGTTCATCATCCTCACGGAGCCGGCACTCCTGAGTGGGGCATCACTGGGCACAGAGCACAGACCAGACCCCCGGGACCCATAATAGCAAAGGGTGCGTCTCAGCCCTTGCGAGGTCCAGCCAAGAGGTCAGGACAGAACCACAACTTGATTCTGCTGGGCCGAAGGAAATAGGGCTGTAGAGGTAGAACTGCTGGGGGACAGGGAACGGAACTGCTGCTTCTGACTGAGGAGACCCGGGGAACGGTTATGAAGGGCAAGACATTAAGCAGTTACATAGTGAGCACCTCTCTTCTTGCAGTGGGCGTGGGCGGCAGGACAAGGTTCTGCCCACGCACAACTGAGAAGCAGAGATAGGGGCGGGCTTGAGGGCTCTGAGCAAAGGTCTGGAACAGGCTGCAGCGTTGGGGGCAGCAGATCAGTGCACGGTGGGGGTGGGGCTACGCCCTGGAGGGCAGCGAGTGCCACTGGACTTCACTGCCTGACTAGAGGCTGGGGCAGCCGCGGTTACCAGCTCCCTCTGCAGCGGAATAGAGGATCTCATTACTGGTGCGCGCTGTGCTCCAAATGCACACACGTAGGGAGGTCGGGGCCAGGCCTGGGGCCCACGTCCATAGCTGGGTGGCCTCAGTGTCTGAGCAAGGAGAG